GTGGGGATGAAAATAGAATTTGATAGTAACTGGATCATCTTTAGGGATTAAAAATATACCAACTTTCTTCTACAATGAGTCATGCCAAATACTAGAACTTGCCTGAATGATATTGTTAGCCATTCTTCAATCTACAAGATGGATTGCTATTCATTTTTCAACACCACAATCTTCAACCCCCAGCTGATTTTTTTTTTCTAAAGAGGTTTCTGTGGTGTTTCTACATAGATAAAGACAGCTACATAGAGGGAGGATGCATTGTCATAGAAAATAGTCATTTGTATATTCAGCAAATATTTAAGTAATCAGGCATTGTGGCCAAAAGCCACTCTGAACCTAAATTGCCAAAAAGCCAACTTCCTCTACCCACTAATCATGTGACCTGAGGCAAGTTACTTAATCTACACATCTCAGTTTCATTATCTGTAAGATGGATATAATAGTAGCAGCCACTTCACAGTTTTCTTGAGAAGATTGAATACATGAATACATAGAAAATGCTTAGAACAGTACTTGGCATATAATCAGAACTCAACTGTTAAATATAATTATTTGAGTTCTTTAGAAATTCAATACTACTAATTTATTGGGAGGAAAACATTCTTTCTCAACAACTTAGAAGATCAAATAAATTATTTTTTCCAGGTAGCCCCAGTCTAAAACCCTTTATAGACTGATACGTAAATCTAAAGTTATGGCAAACGTATTTCTGGGAGGAATACACTGATGTATTTGAGTATGCATGTTGATTATAGTTGCCTGGCAAAAGATTTCAGGCAGATGTTTATTTCCTACCATTGAGCTCTAATGTTTTAACAGGAAGTGACTAGCCACAATATTTAATCAAATTTCCTGATTTTGATCTACTGGCAAGTTGTCATTCATGACTAAAGTAATCATGTGAAGATCAAAGTTCGAAATTATAAACTCAGGAAGCCAAGCTGTGACTTCTTGACTAGGATACTCTAGATTAATATTCAATCCAATTGTCTTTATGAACCAGTGCTGGTCAGGACTTTAACATGATTTAATTGTATCCATTTATTGTTCTTTCTTTACTAACATCACCAACCACAATGAAATGATGGGGTTGGGGAAAAAAAACAATTGTCTGGTGCTAAAATCACACTGCTTCCAGTAGTCTGATGTGTTAAACCAGGTGCACAATTTAAACTAAAGAAGATATGACTCTGTTTAACAGAGATAGTTACCTTTCTATGACTTTTACTTGAGAAATTTTAATTATTTCTACACAGCATGTTCTTAAGATTTGCCATAGTTAAGTTCAACTACTTTTATATTGTGTTGTTTTTTGCAAAAAATACTGTTGATAATATTTAAATTAATGTAATAAAGAATGAGATAATATATCATCCCCATATAAAGATTATAACTGATATCTTACAATCATATAGTGATAAAATATATATTTAATAAATTTTATTAATATACATAAAATATATATTTAATAACTTTTAATCATTGGAAGGAAAATATGTTACATATGAAGTTATTTTAAAAAGTCTCAGACTTGTATTTTTTCTTCATTTGAGGCAGTATATTTCAACTATAAAGTATGTAACAGTCTGCTTTAGCCAAAGAAAACTCACCTTTCGAGCTATAAAATATACAGAATTGAAAGCTGACACCTAATATATTTTTCATTGGATACAGATGTTCAATGGAAAATTCTTTTTTCAAGTATTCATGAAAAACAGGATAACTAAAAAGATATAATGCATAAAAAGTAAAAATCATCGCTTTTGATAAATTGTTAATGGCTTTTTAATAAAAGATATTTTTTCTTTTTATGATTTATACATTCTTTTAAGTATATTATAACCATTTTATTACTTAAAATTATGAATGGAATATTCAGATTACCATAGAACTTAATGAAATAATTATACATAAAGTTTCTATTCCAAATGTAGAAAATCTTGCAAGTAATTAAAAAAAAATTATTCAACAATTTAGAGTTTATCTTTATCTTAAAATTTGAACTTATTTAAATAACATCATAATTAATAAAAGTATTTCTAATATTTACTTTTGGTAACTTTGTGAAATAAATTTATTATTAGTAAATGCAGGCCAATATGATGAATACACAATACAAATTCTGTTATGCTCGCTTTTTTTGTATTTTGGACATGCTACTTTCATTTCTGAATTGAGCTGCACACAGTTTTGAAATAAAAGTTTTGCACAGGCTACCTGTGTGGTGAATATATAGAGCTACTGATGTTTTTCCACCTACAGAAGTCATTATCCTAATTGGGGGCTAAAATATGAACTATCCAGTAGGGGAAAACTAACATTTTTTGAAAAGTAATTCTTTTTCACTCTTTTCCTACCCTGACTCCCAAAATGGAAACAAAAAAGTTATTTTAAGCAGATGTTTCTTGAAATCCAAATATGTTAGCTATTGTGAGTTTAACTTAAATAGTTTATCTGTTGTTCCACTTGGATTTTATTTATTTATTTATTTGTTTTTGAGATGGGGTTCTCATTCTATCACCCAGGTTGGAGTGCAGTGACACAATCTCTGCTCACTGCAACCTCTGCCTCCCCGGTTCAAGCCATTCATTCTCCTGCCTCAGCCTCCTGAGTAACTGGTATTATAGGCTCACGCCACCACACCTGGCTAATTTTTGAATTTTTAGTAGAGACGGGGTTTCACCAAGTTAGCAAGGCTGGTCTTGAATACCTGACCTCAGGTGATACACCTGCCTAGGCCTCCCAAAGTGCTGCGATTTCAGGTGTGAACCACCGCACCCAGCTGGATTATAGTTATTTTAAGTGTTTATGGAATTGAGCTACATGCATGTTTCTTAAGATAAAAGATGAGCCTTGAGCATCTTGGTATAAAACTTTAAAATAATTTCATTTTCATATTTTTGATTTTAAGTGTATTTCACAAAAGTAATATTCAATATTATCTCAAAGTTTTCTAGCATTGTATTTCTTCATTTGTACATTTACATGCTCACCGAGCACATTTACATGTTATTACTACTATGTGAATAACATGCTTACCTCTGTAGGAGATACAAAAAATAATTTTAAAAGATATACCTCAAGGTTTATAGCATACTAAAGAAGACAAACACTGCATACAAAACATACTACTAACAATAGAATATGTTTGATCAGTGCCAGAGTAAGTATATTCATGAGTATGACATATAGACAAGAGATCAATGTATACTGGGAAAATCTCTTTCTGGAACTCTGATTAAAGGTAGAACTTGGCTAAGGAGGTAAAATGTAGGACACTGAAGTTGGGGGCCATGCTGGGAACAAAAGCATAGCAGCAGAAATAGAAAGATCTGTAAGGGGAAGGCAGCCTATAGATAGATCATGGAGCAATGTATAGGGATATTAGATGAGAAAGGTAGATTAGAGGAATACAGGGAGACCTTTGGATATTGGGTTAAAGTGCTTAGTTTTCATATTCCAGTTAAAGGAGAAGACTAGGAACTATGCAATAAAGGCAATCTGAAAATGCCTCAGTGAGGATGGTGTTTAGGAATATTAATTTTAGCAGGGGGCGTGATATGTATTGGAGAGAAAAGTCGAGGACACAAAAATAGCCATTGTTCTTGTTGCTGGAGGTCTAAGTATTACATCATGAAGATTTTTATTAAGGTTATGGCATAAGAAATACACGGAAGCTTGAATCAGAAGCCCTCTCCTATAGGACTTCTGACTAATAATGTATGGAAACATAAGGCAGGAAAATGGAATATTCTGAAACTTAGATCAATAGGAACCAAAAAAAAGGAGAGAGCTTTGAGAAAGATAAGTTTTGAAAGAGTATATAAGAAAGAAGTGCAGTGGCACATTCTCAGCTCACTGCAGCCTCTGCCAGGACTCCTGGGCTCAAGCCACTCTCCTACCTTAGCCTCTTGAGTAGCTGGGACTACAAGAATATGCTACCATGCTCAGCTAATTTTTTGTATTTTTATAGAAATGAGATTTTACCATGTTGCCCCATGGCTGGTCTGTAACTCATGAGCTAAAGAGATTTCACCTACCTCGGCCTTCCAAAATGCTGGGATTACAGGCCTGAGCTACTGCGCCAAGCCTACCTGTAATTATTTTAATCAGGACAAACAGTTCAATAGAATTTAGAGATGTGGTTTTACACATTGGTCAAGTTATCAAAGTTCCCAATGGAGGTTTTTAAAAAATACATACATGACTCTCTTTTAAATTAAAGAAATTAATCTGGCTAAGTGCACCCCAGATTGCATGACTGTAATGCCAGTACTTTGTGAGGCTGAGAGTGAGGATCACTTGAGCCACAGGAATTCGAAGCTGCAGTGAGCTCTGATCCTGCCACTGCACTCCAGATTGGATGATAGAGTACAATCCTGTTGAGAGAAAGAGAGAGAGAGAGAGAGAGGCAGAAAGAGGAAGAGAGAGGGAGAGAGGGAGAGAGAGGGAGGGAAAGAGATGGAGAGAGAGAGAGAGAGAGAGATCTACAGAGAGAGAGAGAGAGAGAGAGAGAGATCTACAGTGTTCTTGTAGTCGTACATACACCTAACAAAAAATACTTGTCCTGCATGATGTCCTGCCTTGTGGATCAAAGTAATTGAATGAGCCACAGAGGATGAGAATGGAATGAATAATGGAGGCCAAATTGTGTAATCACTGGTAAAGCAGGTTCTTTAAGTTTTGTTGGTTAGTTTTCATTCCCCCTGATAATTAAATGATGGAACTCTTTCACCCAGAATATCACTTTGCCACCTTTAATGTGAAATAAAGCTTTTATGCAGTTAGAACTATGTTATGAAAATATTAAATGTTGAGATTCTTGCAACCAAAGGAAGATAGAAAATTCCAAAGAAATGACTATTTCTGGTAAGTTCCTGTCCCAGATACATAACTCAGCTAGAATAGAAATTTTAGTGATAAAATTATGTCAAATTTGTTAGTTAGTGTGAATCTGACATTTGAGTTTCCTTTTATAATGTTTCTTTTTGTTATTTCAGGGAAGGAGATTACAGCAGAAACTTTTATGGAAAAGTTGGACAATGGTGCCTTGCTCTGTCAACTTGCAGAAACTGTGCAGGAGAAATTTAAGGAGAGCATGGATGCTAATAAGCCCACAAAGGTAAAAGATCCCAGTGCAAAAATCACTCTTAGCTGGTAGATTATATTTATAATTGCTTGTAAATTGAATGTAATTTAAAAATTTATTGTGAATGGATACATCAAGGTATGTACTAAAATCAAAGTACAGAGGGTTCTTTTTAATTAGATAACATGTTATTTGCACCCTAATTACATAAATTACATAATCCTTTTGGTGAATCTAATTGAACTAAAGCTTATGAAAAATGATGGTATTAAAAGAGTATTGTGTATAAACTTGCTGAATCTGAAGTACTGATTAAAAATTTAGCAGAGAAATAATTGTGTCATTAGGCAATGCACAAATCCAGCCAAGAAAGATGTACTGAATAGATCCTTGTTTTAAAAAATATTCTGGCAGAATACTAGAACAAAATTTCTGGAGTGTAATTTTTTATTTATTCTAAATAAGTAGTACCCATTGAACTAAGTAAATTTGGACAAATTATTTTTCTGACTGCTCAGATTTCTTTTCTTCATATTAGTTCGAATATTCTTTTCTAGTTATTATAAACATTTGATGAAAGTATGGTGTTTAACCTTTTTTAAAGAAAATAAGAGAGAGTGTACTTAATTTTTAATAGAGAGTGAAAAGAGATGTAAAAAAATATTAAAATAATGTTGACCAGGTGTGGTGGTTCATGCCTGTAATCCTAGTATTTTGGGAGGCTGAGAGAAGCAGATCATTTGAGGTCAGGAGTTTGAGACCAGTCTGGCCAACATGGTGAAGCCCCGTCTCTACAAAAAAAAAAAAAAAAAAAAAAATTAGCTGAGCATTGTCGCACATGCCTGTAATCCCAGCTACTCAGGAGACTAAGGCAGAAGAATTGCATGAACCCAGGAAGTAGGAGTTGCAGTGAGCAGAGATCACGCTGTTGCACTCCAGCCTAGGTGACTAGGTGACAGAGTAAGACTCTGTCTCAAAAAAATAATAAAATTAAATAAAAATGTTGAAGACAGCTTAAGACGAAAAGCAACTGTTAATCCATTTCTGCAACTCTGTCAGAAAAAATAAAAGGTTTGTGTTTGTGTGTGTGTGTGTGCGTGTGTGTGTGTTAGCACTGAATTTACTTTTTATATATTTTATATATAAAAGGATTATGTATTGCATAATACTGAAAGGATTACGTAAAGTGTTATATAATATACAATGTCTTCCTCTTACTATTTTCTTAATCTTAAAAGCAACTCTGTGAAGGTATTAATTAATTGATTTCCAAACTTTGCTGTACACTGGAATTACCTGAGCATCTTTAAAATAATGCTGAGAGCTGGGCTGGACATGGTGGCTCATGACTGTAATCTTAGCACTTTGCAATGGTCAAGGTGGGCAGATTGCTTGATCTCAGGAGTTCAAGACCAGCCTGGGCAACATGACAAAACACCGTCTGGAAAAACACAAAAAAATTAGCTGGGAATGGTGGTGCATTCCTGTAACCCCAGCTACAAAAATAATAATAAAACAAAATAATACTGAGACCTGTATCCCATGCCTGAACATTCTGATTTAGTCCCATAGGGTGAAACCTGGGCACTAGAATTTTTAAGACTAAGTAACCAAGAATTTGAAAGAGACAACTTTCCAAGTTTAGTGCTCTCTCATTCATAATGAACAAAAATGAGAAAGCACTAAACTTGGAAAGTTGTCTCTTTCAAATTCTTGGTTGGTCACTTACTATCCAATCTTGTACAAATTACTTAGTCTTCAACCACCCACTTTAGGAGAAAATTACAAGAAATAAATGGCTACCAAACTTTGCTGCACATTAGAATCACCTGGGGAGCTTTTTAAAAATTCTTTATAGAAGGTTTACTGTAAAGCAATGAACAGAGGAAAATAAGCTGTTGTGCCCAGACTCTTGAAAGAATTACATTCATATTACGAAGTTCCTGAAACCTGTATTGCTTATTGTTGAGGATGGAGAGCCCAATACCTCAGTGTTAAGAATCCTTGAATCCTGGCCAGGCATGGTGGCTCACGCCTGTAATCCCAGCACTTTGGGAAGCCAAGGTGGGCTAATCACGAGCTCAGAAGATCAAGACCAGCCTGACCAATATGGTGAAACCCCATCTCTACTAAAAATACAAAAAATTAGCCGTAGTCCCAGCTACTCAGGAGACTGAGGCAGGAGAATCCCTTGAACTGGGAGGCAGAAGTTACAGTGAGCCGAGGTCATGGCACTGCACTCCAGCCTATGTAACAGAGTGAAACCCCATCTCAAAAAAAAAAAAAAAAAGAATTATTGAATCCTCTTGAGTAATAAAGATTAACCAACTCTATTAAGGCTATTGTGCAGTTTTCTGGTTTTGCTTTGTTGGCAAACATTTGCTTTTTTAAAACAGAAGCAAAGATTCTCAAATAGATTTGTAATTGTAAGACTCAAATGTAAGATAACCCTAAAGATTGGATAGTAAGTGACCAACCAAGAATTTGGTCACTTATAGGTCAAAGGCTTAGCCTATAGGTCAAAGGCTTTGACATTAAATGCATTTTGCTTGGGTTCTAGTTTTATTTATTAATGGGAGGCATCCGAGCCGTAGTTTTCGTATCTGTAAAACAGGATTAATAATTACATATGTATACATTCTGTAGAGCATTGCACAAAATAAGGCTCTTGTTAAAATCTCTTTTCCCCATGTGAAAGTTAAGAGACCTTTATAAGAATTTTCTATTAATTATACGAAAATAAATACTTTATGGCCATGGCCATACCACCCGAACACATCCTATCTCATCTGATCTCTGAAGCTAAGCAGGATTGGGCCTGGTTAGTACTTGGAAGGGAGAAAATAAATAATGTGTAAATGTTTGTATTTAGCATGATAGCTGCTATGCACAAATATGTATACATTTGCCCCAATCTCCATAATATGTAATACTGATAATATTTATAGAGCTATAGTTATATAACTACTCCCCTTCAAAACATTTATTTCAATATTATAATTTTTATTATAAAACTATAAAACATAAAAGGAAATAAAAGAATTTTTTTCTGTTATTAGAACTGCAGCAAGTTATTAAACTTGAAATAGTTCCTTCAACCTAAGTAATTTTGTTTAACTGAATATGAAGCTATTTTTTTTCTGATTGCAATAAAGATTTTAGTATAAAAATTTAAATGTGTTACTTGAACAAGTCAGGTTTGAAAACAAGTCAGGTTTAATTATCATCCCACCAAAAAGACACATGCACCTGTATGTTCATCACAGCATTATTCACTATAGCAGAGACATGGAATCAACCTAGATGCCCATCAACGGTGGACTGGATAGAGAAAATATGGCCCTATATACCATGGAATACCATGCAGCCATAAGAGACCAAAATCATGTCCTTTGCAGAAACATGGAGGCAGCTGAAGGCCATTATCTTAAGCAAGCTAATGCAGGAACAAAACCACCTGCCACATGTTTTCACTTATAAGCGGGAGCTAAACATTGAGTACATCTGGACACAAAGAGGAGCACAACAGACACTGGGCCCTACTTGAGCAGCGAGGGGATGAAGAGGGTGAGGGTCAAAAAACTACCTATTAGGTTCTGTGCTCACTATCTGGATGATGAAATCATTTATATACCCAACTTCAGTAAGGTGCAGTTTACCCATGTAACAATCCTGCACATGTATCCTCTGAGCCTAAAATAAAAGTCAAAAAAAAAAAAAAAACTAATTATGGCCTCACTTCCACTGCTCAATACATCAAATTTGATCTGAGGTAAAAGTTGACACAGTTGCTCTTGACTGAATTGCCTTCTGTGTTCTTGGCAGCATTTATACATTCACAACTGACTGCCAGTAATATGCAGCTTAAATCAATAATAACATGTGCCTTACTTGCAAAGATGGCTACATTTTCTTTTCTGCATTTTGTAGTCAAATTTTTAAAAGATGAAAAGCCAAAAGGTCAGTATGTATATCTTCATGGCTATTATTGTTCATAAATACACATCTGTTAAATTCGTGATTTTCAGTCCATTTTTTGTTTAGAGACAAAAAAAAAAGTTATGAGATTGTAAGCATGTTGATATTGTTAAATCTAAATACAAATTTAAACATAATGGATTCACTACAACCCAGGTAATTAAGATTACAGTGAATATTTCCTATGGGAAAAAAATGAGGCTTTCAAATTTGGTATAAATAATCTGGAGATTACAATATTAAGTCTGCCTTTACACGTGTTTACACTCAAGTGTTCATGTATGTGTTAGTATAGAATTATTTCTCATTTTGGCATTTTGAAGTTTAGACAAAATGGTGGTGAAGATAGATGAATTAGTCAATACATTCTCTGAATTAGTGAAACTGTGTACAGGAAGATGTTGAAACAGAATTACGTTAAATAAATCGACAACAAACTTGATCCTCTCCAAAGCCATGCTTTGTAATTTTTTTCTAGCAGCTTAAATCTTATCTCCTTATTTTCATAGCAATATTTTTTATTTTTCCTGGTTGATAGTTAATTTGGAGATTTTACAGCTGTGTAAACAAATTTGAACGAGTAAGTTATGCCTGGTATGTGTGAAGTATGTCTGTATTAAGAATGATTTAAATGCTCTTAAATCTGAAAGTAAATTTTAATAAATGTTAGTTTGCATATTTAATATTTTAGATGTAAATCTGTGACTCTTTTATATCCAGCTTTCATTTGATAAAATACTCTGAATGGAAATATTTTTCTCCTATGGTTCTTTCTTTCCAGACATCAATAGATCAATTTAAAAATGCTTCTTTATGTGTGTGAGCTCTAAGCAGTTGATCTTACCCTTTGTGTAGTGGGCTATTTTCTCACTCTGCATGGAAGCAATGCAGAGACCTTACAGAGTTGGACACTAGATGGTTGGAAGCATTTGAGACCAGTGTGTAGCTGTTTAATGTGTAATTTGATTTAATTCATTTATATGTACTGTAATATAAATTCACTTTATAAATATGAATATTCTTGGAGTTGAGGACATTTAAAGGCAAAAATCTAA